GTGACGTCATCGTATGCGTTACATCCTTGCAATCGGCGCGAAATCTCACAGGTCTGAACTCCTCCATAGTTTCCTTTATAAAACGTAAAGTAATCCCTTCCCCGCTCGATCCCCTCACCCCTTCCACATACCCTCGCTCCATGGCCCAGTTAACCATATCAGGTATAAGACCAAATTCGAAGCGATTTTTTATGTCAAGTAAGGTTCTTTTCAAAGAATGCCAAACATCTTAAGTGCTACAACAGCCGAACTAATCAAATTTAGAAATTTGCCCTAACATTCCTTGTCCAATGAAAATTTCCAAGTACAAACTGCAAGCACTGTAAATAACAAAAGATATTTCTGCGAATGGTATTATTAACTTTTGTCTGCTTTGTTCTATGAATTCATTCCCTTTTACTCGAATGGTAACTGAGATGAAAATTAATGAATAGGCTCAGCGCCAATTATAGCCACTTCTCATCTCGACTAAACGACGTGCATCGGCCCTTATTCAATTCTTACCCATTTCCCAATGACGACTGGCAGTAAACCAACACATGGGACGCGTTTCTCATTACTCGAGATCGTCGTCACGGGACCACGAACCCTCGGAGAGAACGTCGTTGCCAAACATGAAAGAAACTAGTCCGAGACTGATCAAAAACCGCCTGCGCTTTAGTTATTTACATTTACTGTGGTTTCGAAGTTATGAACAGAGTTGTTGCACTGAAAATGCTAGAAAATATAAGTTAAGAAAATCAGAAGGCCTTCATAGGCGTCAAAATGGACTCAGCCGGTTTATCCATCAACCAAGTACTTACTACTGCTCACCGCTCGCGCTTTATTTTACATAACATTCATGGCTAACTCGTTATTTAGGAGAGTAGTTCGAGGTGACGGAGTATCCTCGGAAGAGTGTATGTATGGCGAATGGCCCCATTCGAAAGCAGATTATTCAGAGACCAACTATTTAGAGATCAATTTCGCTCCGCCTTCATAAGGTTGATTCACACAGCTAGCAATATTTAATATGTGTGATACAATATTCTAATGGTCTAATGGTAAGGCAGCATAGAATCAATCTAAAAGTTTTTTTGGCCTATTAACATTTCATTAGTCTAGCAGAAGACTTCTGTGTCCGTTCATAAAAGCCCTAAGAAAAAACCCTATAACCGGAGACCACAGTGCATCACAAACAGTTGCTCTATGCAAAGTTCTTATGATTATGACTACAAATCCTAAACTTCTTTTACGTAGTTAAGAATGTTCAGCCTAATAAATGCTTACCCTCAAGACCATTCTTCTAGCGCTAATCTAACCCGTTACAGATCAGGAATGTTTTATGGCTTCTCAAAGGCTGAATGACCACAGTCCAGGTGGTTGCTAGAGATCCGCTTATTATTTTCTCATCTTAGAGCGGGTGATCGAATCTGAGCCAATCAGTTAGTCGTTATCTCGTAGATCAAAACAAACCGCTCTAGGAGGTGCTTGGTTGGATTAACGAGCCCACCTGCACACCAATTAGGAGGTGAGGTTTTGAGGATTCAGGTCGCCATCCAAGCTGTGTGAAAGAGTCGGAACAGTCGGCTTGTCATAACAACCTTATGTTCAAATGTTTAAGACGTTTTTGAAATACAAAATCTTTAACATGAAATGACGTACACAGAACCATCCTTACTTTTTCACGGCCTTTCTTTATATTCTCACCAACTAGATTCTTTTCTTCACCTTTTTCTTATCTAAAACCCTCAAGTGTCAGTTCATACCAACGCGTCTGTATCATTATAGAGAAGTGAGTGACTTCTTCCTAGTCCCGTAAAAAGTTCTCAAAAAAAGGTGTGCACTTATATTTGGGAACAATGAACGTCTAGATATTCCATGAAATCTGAATTACTGTAGATTTTGGATTTTTGAGGGCATGATTAAGAAAACCCGAAAGATCCCAGCTAGAACGTTGTCATGAGATAGTTTTCGCTAGTATTTTCTTAGGTGATTAGTCTAGTTTTCTTCACGCCAGTTCTCCAGTTTAGTTAGCACAGTGGAATTTGTCCACATCATCATAACGTCGCCATTCTACAAAACTACGTTGCTGATTGATATCGGGACGTCATGGAATTTGGAAGGATGTCGTGGATGGAGGTGCGGTCTCATTATTCTGTAGTGCATCTCATCTCTTCTCTCACCTTCTGTTGCTATGCATCATAAAAATCGGTGTAAGACAGGCAGAGAAGAAAAAAAACGGCGGGCGTGTCCTGCGCGCATCTGAGAATGGCAATTTGCGGATTCATGTACGGGATCGCGCTATGTCTCCGACTCCGTCAGCGCTCACCTGCCGGAAATGACATCTTCTCAACTCTGCGCATACATACATACGCACACATATGCACATGTGCACGTATAAACGCTCAAATATATATATATATATATATATATATACATATATGCATTCACAAATCCACAAGTGAGCTGTACGTTTGTTCACATCCACACCTCCATTAATATGTGGTCGTTGATCTGTTCAGTAGGATCAGGAGATATGGGTGTACGTGAATGTATGACGGTTGTAGTGTGCACATGTGTATTTATGTATGGGCGAATATATGTGTATGTGTGTATGTCTGTATGTGTATGTGTGTATGTGTGTGTGCGTGTGTCTGTGTGTCTGTGTGTCTGTGTGTCTGCGTTGTGTATGTGTGTGCACGTGTGTTGAGGATTCTGTGAACTTTTATTAAGGATAGACATACTTAGGATTTTGTATTGGTTCAGCAGTGTAAATAAGTGAAGATGAACGTTATTTACGATAGTAAACGTGTCCTCGCAAACGACTATGTACGTAGAAAGGTGGAGAATTTATTAGGACAGATTTGGATAGAAAAGTTTTTTTGGAACAATTTTAACTTATTATTTACTGCCTGCTCTTCTTAACGGCAGGGTATACATTGTGAAATATAACTTCAATGATGCTGAGATATTTGCAAAACTCCGGACCGCAGGTGTATGCGGTGGGGAACGAACGCGCTATTGTCCTTTCCGGGGAGTTGCCCATTACCGATTTGGACCCCCCAGATCAATCCCGTTGACGGGTTATTGCTGATGGCAAAAGATCGATAGAACTAGCTGACAGACGAAACGAAAGACCCGCGTTGTATGGTGGTGAACGCGCTACTCCCCGGAAAGCACAATAGCGCGTTCGTTTCCTATCGCATACACCTGTGGTCAGGAGTTTTGCAAATATCTCGGCATCATTGAAGTTATATTTCTTTAGAACGTTAATCAAATGAGATGAATATTCTCTCTACAAAGTAGCGAACTGGTTTCTCCATCGTTTGGATAGGAGTGACTTACTATTTCTGAATGGCAACATTGATTTGGTCACCATTACCGAAGATAACGTCGAGAAAATTATGTAGGCAACGATGATTCTGATGTTGATGCTATATGAAGTCTCCCCAATGAAATTCACTCCTTTAATGGTGTTATGCAATAGTTCAAACTCATCAACGTCTTTATTAGCGTCTCTCAGAAACTCTCGATTACTCATTATGTACAGACTGATTGCGAAATAATGGAAAGAAAATGCTCGTTAATGGTTACAAAGCGTTCGGTGTTAACCAATTCCTTAGGGACACGCTATGAATTCTACTCTACTCGTCCATCGTAGGGATGATTGTGTGTATATTTGACCCGTATAACAGCTGGCTGGTGCTTGGCTAAAGGAAGTCCTAGGATTTTAGTTCATCCTTCTCTACAGTCCTTTCGATGCCGACATGGTAACGCAGTATAATGGGAGTTATTGGCGCAGGCATATGAGCAATGATGAATAATGGTTCGATCTTCGGTGCTAAGCTGAGCAAACCATACATTCATTCTATATCGGTCAATTAGTTTAGAAATCTCCCAGCGAATGATAGGAGCACGAACTCCTTTGATTAACATCAATGATCACTGTACTCGATGAAAACGCAACAGCTCGCAATTTTGTGATAACTAGTTGAAGACACTAAATAGTTTCCAGTGCAATAATGTCAGCCGTAATGATTGTTTAAAAATATCCAATAAATCTGGTCCAATCATGTTTCTATTAACTTTCTGTACATAGGTTCGTTCAGCATGATCATTAATGGTCCATAGGCTTTACTAGTTCAACTCGACCACGCAAAAGAGGTATTTGGAGCAAGACACCTACTGCTTCCAATATGCACTATCTCATGCTATCTTTTACTGATTTTCTTCCTATCGCACATTTTTATTTCACTTAACTTGAGTGATGCCTGTCCATTAGTCAGTTTATCCTTGAAATATCGATGCCTCGAAATGTGAACCTCATTGATGGGTGCCGCATTTCAAATTATATACAAAGAGGAGTAGCGTTTTGTTCCGTATAGCATTTAGATCTCAGTTTTCATCACTTGCCAAAGGTACGGAGAGAAACGTTTATCTGTGTGTATATGTGACATTACGTCTAACGGGCTCATTTCACATAAACAAATCCACGGACAGGTGAAACGGTCTGAGCTATTGGGTTAGATAAACCCGAGATTCTCTGGGCACGGCTTTATTTACATTCATGAGGCCAGTAATGTGAGTGAGGAGAGCGGTTAAGCTACCTTCACCTTATGACTGAGGTAGGTGTTCCTACTCAGCACAATGTTTACAGTCCATGCTAAAAAATTATCGTTAAAACATCTGGTTGAGCCAAACGATGGCAATAACCGTTCAGATCACCAAGCTGATGTTTACAACCAAACTGGTAATGCCGGCAATTGGCAGTGGATTACGCGTAGGTACTACAAAGTAAAACTTCACTGTCGCATAGCGGTAGTTCTTGTCATTTTCTCGCAACTAGTCATTTCGATAAATTTTTCTCTTCCAAGTTAGTGAAGTGACTAGTGGAAAACTGTTAAATAACATCGAAATTAGTAAACTCGTTACAGAGGAATCACTTGAGGAATCAAACTCACTTGAGCTACAGTGCTGACCATACTCTATTTGCGTAATCACCTTCGCAGGTTCATTAACTATGCATTACGACGATTCAAGAGTACTGCTCGACAAGCGGCTTGCGTTCCATGCACAATAGAGCTGATGAACTGAACCTGTTCGACTGTCGCCACGTCAGCGGACTCCTCGTCGTCTGTGATGTTTCGACGATGACCTTGTTCAATCGTCGTATATGACCATGGCCCGTCGTCGAATATGTACACCTGTGGTGGCGGCGGCGGCTAGACACGACTACAAAAGCCCACCTCGACAAATTGAGAGCTTTTTCGCCGTACAGCAGCATTTCGGTCGAGAAAGACAGCATAGAGAAACACACAAAGAGGCCGGCATGGTAATTGGGAACGTAATTAGATAGAAGAAGCATTGAAAATTTGGAAACGCGTTGAAATTCTCTACCGAACGAGCTGGTGTTTTTCTATCGGCAAAAGAAAAACAAGCAACAACATGAATTCAACCGTGTTTCTAAACATTATAGTGGCGATAAATTAGGCTAAATTTCCTCGCATCAAGTAAGCAGTCATTCCAAAGCAAAGAGAGCTTCCTGTCGGAGCAACTTTTTTTCAAAGTAACGATCATTTTTGCATCGCCGCGAGGACAGTGCTGCCAGTTATGGTACCTAGACAAGTAGTCAACGTCACTATGGAATCCATCGACAGTTTAATACTTGAAATTTGTTGTTTTTACTTAAGAATCACACGTTATTAGCTGAGTGTCATAGTATAGATAAAAGGGCTCTGGAATCGAGATTTGAAGAAGAAGAAGAAGAAGAAAACTTTGGTAAAAGAATTCATAAGTCTGTAAGTGCAATTTATATTGGGTACGCATAAAGATAATACAGATAACAGATAACAGGGTTAACAAAAAGTGATTTGGTATTTGGTGGATGACAAAGAAGAAATGGGATGAATTATGTTTGGAGACAAAATCTCATGTACAGTCTCTAATGCTGTTTCCTATTCTTATTCATCCTGAAGCGATTACTTAAGTTTTATTTCCAGACCTTTGAAATTATTATTGCAATTGTTTAATGGCTAGTGATTTAAGTGTTTTCTGATTTAAGATACTGTAAAGAATAGAATGCGGAATCATAAGGGTACAACTGAAACTGTGTGAAGTCAACTAGGCAGTATGGGCGTTGTGAAACGTCGATTTGTCAGTGTGGTTGTGTTGATGAAACAAACATGGCCATCATGCCGACAACTATCGACTATCCGCACATCCACGTTAATGTCAGTACGAATCGCTCCTCATTTTGTGTTCTTTCCGGGAAACTTTCAGTCTATCGAAACCATCGAGATTCCAGTCTTATAAAACCGTATTTCGTTTTCTAATCGTTACATTGCAGTAGATTACATCGTATCCACAATTTTCTTGCAAAAATAAATCGTTGACCTCTCATGTTTTAAGCTGCTTTCGTTATGAGTTTCTGCTAAACTCACCATCATCTGATACACTATGGTACAATGCACTGCATTTAGTGGTCTTAGCATCCATATTCGTGTACTTCAACTATTAATACGCTTATTTGGGATCTGAAGTGGTGATTGAGGTGCTAATCTAAGCGCGATATTAGCTGAGGTACGCATCCGTAATTACCATAACCCGTTACGCAATCGAAGACGTCGGGCGCCGATACGTCGGCTGTCGTCAAGAACACGACGCTGATTGGTTGAGACGTCACGCCCACCACCATCTCTCTCCGCCTACCTTGCGGCGACGCTCCAATGAAGGAGTGGAGCGCCAGTGGTGGTGACGGCCGGCCGAGGTTTCTTCCACATTTTCGTTGTACCTCTTGCATGAACACGTCCATCCGGTACTTTAGGCCATCTTCATTTGGCCTATGTAAAGATTTCCTAAATGGTGTATAGAATAGGCAATCGATCTACTTTTTGTTTACTTTCCTGCATAGTCTAACTGAACTTATTGATAAGGCTATCAATCCTTTTACTATTCTACATGGTAACGGGACTCTAATCGTATGTTATCGAAATCTTCTTAACGTATCCATAAGTATGTTGTTAACAACACCTAAGAGGGTTCAATAGTCATGTTCTTCTGATGTTAAAGGCAATTTCCACTTTTCACAGAACTTTGTCACTTTTTCAATCTTCAAGTAATTAATTTAGAGCATGTTTTGCTCTGCTATCACTTGAACAACTCATTCCTTCTCTTTTTACTAATGTAGGTATTTCAAACCTTAGTGAAATCATAAAAAATGCAAAGCGTATAGAATCATTCTCGAAAGCACCAGACTTAACTTGTCTTTATTTTAAAATTTCTCAATGGCTGAAATTTTTTCTTCACATTAGAACTCTTCACTCAGTAGCTGGTATTTTTGAGAAATTTCTCACTTATCCTCTGCACTTCGGCGTTAATTAAGATGTAAAATGATAACGTTCCTTACGATATCACCGCTCGTGTTAATCTGATCCATTCTTAAACTAAGAACTCAACGAAGAAAGTTGAAACCCTTAGGCATTACGTCGTTGACAGAGTGTTTGCCAATTAGACTTAAAGATGATATGTCGGTTTGCATTAATAAGGCGTGTAATCAGATATCTCACTAAACTACCGAATCCACAGGCACCTTGGACGAGTTGTACTGCCTTTTCCTTGGATTTTAGGCATTGATAATTCTACCGACACAGAAAAATTTTTACTAAGCTCCTGCCTACCAAATCGTCAAATTCCCATTACTCTTGCCAATAAATAAATAAATATATTTCATAGATACTGACAACCCCAGTTTATTGACATCTGTCGAGTGCGATTAAATATATTTGGGACTTTGTCATCTACATCCCCTCATGCATCTCAATTCATGTGGTATAAGTTCGATTTAAGTGCGACTGACTATCATGACTGTGTGTGTCTGTGTAGGTCCCAGTTATCGATTTTGGCAAAGCCGTGCTTAAATTTCACAAGTATGTTGAGGGTCTTATTTTTCAAATAGTGCTAATTTCAAAGCATTGATAAGAGTTAGACCTCAAAGTTGACTAAGCAGTTTCATGGTGAAGATGGCCATCTTCAGCTTTAACCGGAAATTACAATCTTGTCATTGTTTTTCTACTCATGATATTTACAAGATAGGGGCATAACCTATAACTTCGATTGTTTCCACGAAAATAAATTAATAAACATCTTGGCGCTTTCTCCCATATTTATTGATTTCTATGTGAGCTTACCGTGAGGCGAAAAACAAATAACATGACTGAACTTACAATTACTCCAAATAAAGTACAAACTATTGTTGTAATATGGCGATTTGTACTTAATCCTATTGGGAGGAACGAGCGAAAGAGAAAGGAAAGAAAAACAAAAAGAAAAATACGACAGTATCGAATGTCTAATTCATAAACAGCTGCCAAATTTTTTTTCCTGTTAAGGTTGCACTTATTAAAGGTGTTGTTAATTAAAACAAATATAACAAGCTAAGTTTCATAAACTCGCAACTAATCTAGATAAAATCGATGAAGAATAAAACTTCGAGCACTTTCTATTACCCAAGGGTGTGCAAAGCATTCGACTCCATTTTCAAGATTACAGTAGTGATTGATTGCACATTTGCTTAATACAATGATTTTCGGGGATCTGTCGATTTATCAGGTCAAAGCTTTCGTTCTCTCAAATAAGTCTAGTCTCAGCTGTGAGCCAGAGAAAAAGGGAATGAGTGGAGATCCTGGTTTGCTCGCATCCCATGATCGAGCCATTTATCCAATGCATATTGCTAATCGTCTGCAACCACTGTGCTACACGGTCCTATCACCCAGATACCTACGTAATACAAGCTTTTGTTCCAAATATTTATCATTTTTTTGAGGTCACTAGTTTCAAAGTGATTTTTTAATAGTCATTCCTGCTGCTTTGTGTTTATCTGATTATGCGGCATGTTCAAGGCTATTGTGGTTCCAGATTTCTATAAGCTGTAGCATTTTCGATCCTAAAAACCATACATTTACTGGGTCAAACGAACCATACCATTTCACTGATGACTGCTCATCATGTGTATTTGGTCAATCTTTTGATCTCATTTAATACAAGAGGCCGTATAACATGGAACTATGCTGTTCTAATTGCCACTCCCATGCCACCTCTCCTACCCTGCAGTGTGATCAATTCTGACCAACACATTAACCATTAACTTAAATGTAGCAATATTTACAAATAATTAGCTTAAAAATTTTTCTTCGCGTTGCTTTACCTTTTCATTTTTGCGTTTTTTCCGAATTTCCTGCCATCTTTTCGTCACGTACGCAAATTTACACCACCGCTTCCACTCCATACACCTTCCCTCCCACTTTCCACCTCGCGGCGACGACGACGACGACGCTTAAGAAGCTCCGCCTCTTCCGGCGCTACAGTAATCATTGCCAAGGCCGCTTACGGAAGTGACGACTAATCTGAGTAGTGCTGCCCCGTTACCTGATTCAAACCTTCAACTCTTTCATTCTTAAACCGTTTGTTTTTGTTCCTTTCTTCTTCTTGCTTCCTGCACAATTATTATGTAATGCGTCGCCTGTCCTCATAGCCGTTACGCAAGGAGTCTTCTGACACAGATCTAATAGCATTTGACGCCGTTAAAGTACTTTATTTACATTGAGGTCAGTCTTTTTCTTTCTGATGCTGTCTTTTTTGGATGACGCACAAATTTGTATGTGAAGAAATTCGTCTCCACGTTTCGGGCAATCTTCGTAGATATGGAATTAATTTGTGTCACAGCAAAGAATTTCTACGCCGACATTTGGCAAGAATGCCTTTCGTATGACTCGTCTTGTACAGCCGTTTCCTATCGGATCGTATGTCATAATCGAGTCCTGATTTTCAATTTAAGCGCCGTATCGTTTAATACTTCAATACAAATCACTTCGATTGCAGAAAAGAAAGGCGTAAAAGTAGAAGTATGTCATGTAGGTGTTCAACCTCACTACCAAGCAATGTGGTGATTATAATACAGGATCATTCTATGCGGCGTTACCTGACCAGTTGTTTGTTTAGTAACGTTTGTTTCGCCTAATATTTTCCCATTACCATTACATAACACTTTATCATACCTTTTCGAGAGTTTACTTTTCCATGGATATGAACTGTTCTTGATGTGGAATAGTGTCACTTACCGTTTCTGAGACCTCAACTAACCATTGTTTCATCCATATTTTCCTCTGAGGCTATCTCTGTAAAAATTACTAGGCATATGCTGGCATTTTTCAGTTTCACTAGTCTAGCATTTTACCCAACTTTCGAGAAAAATGGCTCTTAAAAAATTTCCTTTTTGTCAATCCAGTCTCAGTAGTTTTGAAACCTTCACAAATCCTGCTATATTCACTGAGAAGGTATAAAAAGCTGAAGGTATGGTTTCTTCTGCTATAAAAAAGTGGAGGTGTTAACTTCTCGATAAATCGCGGTAAATCATCATATTCAATTTCACTTTGATCCGAATGTCAGCGACAAGTTCTCGCCGTTGCTAATCCTCTCCAGTGACTCACGTCGTCGGCAGCGACGTCGTCGTCGTCGTCGGTGCCTCCTCATGCCTCCCTCCGTTTCCTCTGCTCCTCTCATCGATCGTCTTTTCCTCGTGTTCTGTCTTTCTGTGTGTGATGTGTGGTGCGTACGATTTCGATGCGATCGAAATTAACATACGACTCGTCGTCGTGCTGTTTTCGAATGCTCTGATAAGATCGCTAACGGTGATTTATGCCGTCGTGTGCCGATCCATCCGTATTGGTTGATTGGACGGTTGGTCCGTCAACAGCAATCATATTACTAACAATGCTAATAATAATAATTCTAATAATAATAGTAGTGGAAAACCCTGGTTCCTTTCAAGCTTCCCAGTTATTTCTATTCATTTACATCCTATGACAATTGTTTGCCCACAAAAATGGCTAACGTGCGCAAAAAACTGCTGGACTATTCTCTTCCTAGTTCAGTGGGTTTTTGCTCATAAACTTTATGAATGTGCATTTATTAAACCCATAATTTCATCAACTGTAGTTAGACTCGGGGTACACTCTGGCCAAGCTGACCTCGGGATCCCAGAGAACCACGGTGGCTCAACCGGCAGGTTTCCGAAAAGAAAAAATGGAGATTGTGCTGGCGTCCGCACAAATAGTGAAGACAGGCTGTCCAAGTATCCAAGTAAGTAAGTACTCCGACTGTCTAGATATCACTCTGTTTTGAGATTACCAGTTAATCAACTAGTTTTCCTTTAAGCTTAAAACAGTTAAATTCCAGTGAAACAAAATAGTGTTGAATATTTCACATGTCGAGAGCAAAAAAATCATGTTGATGTGTTACGATTCGTCCAAATTTCTGCTGAAAAATGTTTATCCACGTGCAGGAACAATATAGTACAGCATGAGTAGTGGCAATGCCGAAAACATTGGCATTGTTATCCTAAAGGAATGGGTGAAACAGATCTTGTCATTTGTTGGAAGAGAGCCACAGTTTAGCGCCTACAATTTCCAGAGAAAATCGTTTAATTGGGGGATTTCATAAACCGAGAAAGTTTGGAAGTGGCTATGAGCTTTCTTGCTCGTGTTAAACCTTCATGTTGAGCACCATTGTTCTTCGAAATTCGGTGGATCCTCTACGTAGTCGAATCCTTGGCTCCTATGACTCGTATTACATGACCGATTCTCGTTTCTTTTGAACGATTTCTATGAGGGACTGTCGCAAAGAATAGTGACACCTCAG